CGGGAGGTTTGCCAAGAACTTTGTATTCATAATGCTATAGCTTCTTCCAGTTACTTCTGTTGGAAATAGATTAAAATCAAATCACATTCTACAATTAAGATAATTCAATGTTGATGATATTGTTTTGTTCCATCAGATTCCTTTCCATCTTGTTACCCGGTTATGGGATACTTATCTTGCGGAAGGGGACTCATTGCCAGATTTCCTTGTCTACATATTTGCCAGTTTTCTGTTGACGGTAAGGATATCAATTTTGTTTTGATAATCCAATTCTAGAATGGAGCCTAGGTAAATGGTTTGAATGGTTTTCATTACTGAAGCATCACTGTAATGATCCAAAGATTCTGATGCCTCTGAGTAGCTCTTTGAAATGAAGGGCAATATCATATCATTTTCACCCACTTGAGTTTCTGTTCAAAGTATTTTGTGTCGATCTTGTTTCTGAATTAGCCTTTTCCCTTCGTTTCAGTGGTCTGAAGAGCTGCAGAAACTTGATTTCCAAGAATTGGTGATGTTTCTCCAGCATGTTCCAACTCAAAATTGGACCCATCAAGAACTTGAGATGGTGCTTTCAAGAGCATACATATGGCACAGTATGTTCAACAATTCACCCAGACACCTTGTTAGCTGAATGGGATTTGTTCTACACACTCATTCACGCTTGGAAAGTTGACCTATTTTTGCCTCCTTTTCTCTTCTTCCTCCAATGGGGTTTCTGCCCTGCTGCTCTGCTGCTCTGCTTGTGTATGAAAACTCTTCAAATCTTCTGCCATGCGTGTACCATCATCCCTCCCTTGTATCGTCTGTATTTCCCCAGCAATTATTCGTAGATTTCTGTATTTGGACAGAGCAAAGTAAAGTTAAACGTTTTTGTTCAGATATAAATGAAATTCTCCGTCAAGAAGTAGATAGGTGATTGATATTGATCCCCTCTCATACTCTCATCTTTTTTTAATGTTCAAATTTTTGTATGAATTTTTGGAAGCATAAATGCAAAAAGATAACGACAAAATTTAAATGATTTTCAAAACATGTCATAGACCAAGCTTAGATACTTCAAAAATATCCGAGCTGATGGAAACGAATTCAAATATAAAAGGATTTACCTTTCTGATATTTTCCCGAGCTGGTGGAGTGGTGGGTGGTGGGTGGGAAGCGAGAAGGATAATGGGAATATCAGCCTCAAAACGAGTCAAGAACTCACTTTCGAACTCCCCCGATTTCGACTCAGCCTGCGATTCCACTTTCTCCCACTGCCTTGACCTAACGCAGCACGCATACGCCGGCGTTTTCCCCTACCAACTCTGCACCGCCGCCGACCACCTCCACCGTCTCCTCACCACCGTCCGCCCTCATCCACTCATTTCCAAGTGGCTTCCCTCTCCCCCGACTCGGCTGCAGGTCGACTCAGCCCTGCAAGCCGTCAATCGCGGAGACGCGGGTCGTGAAGACGAAGAAACCCTAGGACCGATCCGCTTCAAGCATTGGGCGATCGAGCTATTCGCAGAGGCTGTAGTGAAGAATGTCAGCAAAGAAGTGATGTTTCGAGTTCCGGTCGGAATAGCAGGAATCGCGGGAATCGGCGCCGTGACTAGGTCGGGAAAGGACCTGGTTGGGAGTATGGTTGCAGTGTACGCGCTTGGCGTTGCGACTTCGATGTACCTTGGCTTGTCTGGATAGTAAACGGAGCGGTGGATGCAGTTTGTAAATAACTTGTTTTTGTTGAAGATTAATTATGAAATAAAACTATGCCCTCCTTCTATTTTAGTTTTTATATCTTTTTTAAATATTCTGAAATAACTTTTATATTATTTAAAATTGACACCAATTTTAAAATAACTATTTATTATTTTTTAAAATGATTTGTAGTTAATTTCTATTCAACTTTCTAAAACAATAGTAATAAAGTTAAGGTTTTCAAATATTTAATTTTAGTTTATGTTTATTTTAATAAATTTTGAAATTAAAATTAGTTTTTAAACAGATAGTTTAAAATAATAGCAATTTATGGTTTGTAATTAAATGTATTTTGATTTAAAATGTTAACAAAATTGGAAGTAAAATAGACGTATTTTAAAAATCATAATTTAGGGTTTTTATTGTTCCATATTCGTTCACTCCTCTGTCGTCGTCTCCCGTTTGTAAACCCTTTCTAAACCTTTGTAGCACTCGATTTCAAGTTGCAGACCTCAATTCAGGTATTTTGCTTAATTTCTCCTTCATCTTGCTTGAATATCTGTTCTTTGATTCCTTTTATTTTCTATTATCTCGATTAACTTCTTGACCACTAATAATGTCTCTCCATTTCGCTATTAGATGCGAACCTGTGAAATCTCCAACCAAGCCCTAACTCAGTCGGCAGTCTCCTCTTTTGAATTTTGTTTTTCGCGAATCTAATGCTTTCAGTTGTTGTTCTTTGCTGATTTTGTTCTGTTATTTGATGGCCATACTCTTATTATAACTCTGTTTGTTAACTTCCATTATCTCCCTGTTAATTTTTCTGGGTTGCATTAACCTTTGTGAAGCAGGGTTGCTGTTGTAAGGATGGTTGAGCTTCTCTTTGATGATATCTTTAAGATCGAGCGATTAAACCCAGATGGCAAAAAGTTTGATAAAGGTGCGTTTTTTCTGTAAAATAGTTGCTCTCCCTTTTGCATGCAGATTCTTCTTTTACCTCTTTGATGTGCATAAAAGTTGTGTGTAAATGTTTTAAGAACTTTTCAACACAGTTAAGCAAATGACATTGGTGTTTTCATAATCTGTCCAACAGTTACTCGAATAGAGGCAAAGAGCGAGAAGTTTGACATGTTCATGCATTTGGACATTAATACAGAAATATACAACTTGAAAGAAGGTGAGAAGTTTTCAATGGCACTGGCTCCAACTCTGAATCTTGATGGAACCCCTGACACAGGCTATTTTCTTCAGGTAACTTGTTCTTCCAGTGATTTATAGTCTGTAACAGGAAACTTCCAATCAATTAGGGAATATTGGGTTTCCATAGTTTTTGCATATGTCTATTCATTTTCATGACTGGTTATTGGTTGTTGTCTGACGGCTATATTTGTGTCTTCCTATGTTCAATTATTAGTTTGGTCTTACGCATTCTCGAGGCTTGAATTGTTATCATGTGTACAGGGCAATAGGAAGTCACTTGCTGACAGATATGAATATGTCATGCACGGGAAGCTGTTCAGAATATCAGAAAGTTCTGGGCATGTCGGTAAAGCGTACGTGTTATAACTTCCTGTAAACAATTTTGTTCTAATACTACAATTCTATTGCATGAGCCATGAAAGAAGCAAGAGCTTGACGTTCCTGCGCTTATATTTTATCTATGTTTGAGCAAGAATGTGTCGTAGCGCATCTTCTCCTGTCTGTGATGGCTACCATAAATGGCATTTATGGTGATTAATCCATTTTGGTTTCTTTTTCTGAACAGTCTACGAACGTAGATGATACATATTTTCCGGTTGAATCTTTATCTTGAATAGAGTATTTCATCTGAATCCAGGGAAATAGATGCTTCTTTTGGTGGGCTTCTGATGATGCTGAAGGGGGATCCCTCACATTGCAGCAAGTTTGAACTTGACCAGAGGCTGTTTCTTCTCATCAGGAAGGTGTGAAGCCCTGTCATTTGAATTGAACTCTGGTGACTTTACTATAAATTCTCCCGACATTGCCTGTCTCTCTAGAACATATAAGAACTGTGAACATGTAGAAATCTATGCACTCTCAGCGTCGAATTGAGATCTGTATTTGATGAAAGATTAGGCGTGTGTTCTTATCTTTTGAACGTTTTGATCATCGCTTCAATCTTGCCAATAATGTCATGAACCATGATCACAATATCACTCTCTTTTCCCATGCCTTTTGGTAGTTGAATTATCATAATCGAGTTCTTATTACACGCCTGAGGGAGAGCTAGGGATGGTCATTGTTGTGGTGCCTTCTTGAGGTTCGTGTGATTGACTAGTAGCACAAAGGTTTTTTATGTCAAAGAGAGAACTAAGAAAGATGGGGATCAAGCATGGAAGTTGTTTTGAGAATGTTGTGTAGGTTGTTGAGTTGGGTCAGTTGATGTCATCTTAGGCTTTGCTTTCAGTATGATGGCAGAGTTTGATATCAAATAACATCTTGAGCTATGCTCAAATTGATCCCGTTCTAAATTCTTACTAGAGATTTATATGTTTGCTGCCAATGACTAGCGTGAAAAGATGTCTTCTAATTTCTATTCTTAGCCCGATCTTCTTTACTGTTGTACATTTACTTTTGTATGCATACTCATACATGCAGAATATCATATATTCTTGTGCGGTTACGGTGCTCATTATGTTTCTTTCTAACATCTTTTGGTACAATCTCAATAAAATTATAGTATATATATGTCAATGTCGAAAAAATTTAGAAGACTGAACTCCCACTTGTGCTTATGCGTAAGCCTCTAGTTTTTTTACTCATCACAAAATCATATTTTTCTTCATTTTAATTGGATTTTTTTTTTATATAAAAATATATTAAACGGAAGTTAATGGAATTATATTTATAAAAAAAATAAAAAATTTGTGGGTCAAGGTAAAAGAAAAAAAAAATTGAAATCTTTATTTTTATTTTTATTACTCAATGTCACATCACATTTTAAGGAGCATATGGTATATAATTTAACTAACATGAGCATAATTTAAATGTAATAAGTTTATGTTTTCCACCTAAATGTCGTAATTATTTTTTTTAAAGAACTTCAAATGAAAAAGCATATTTTGAAAGAACTTCAAATGAAATCTGAACCTGACAAAAAAAAATCTAATTTAGTGAAGACTCGGTTGTTTTGGAGAAAAAATTTAAAAAGGGTAGAAGTGGTTGATTACATCAAAATTGATTGAATTAGAGGTTTTTAAAAAGATTAATTTTTAAAATTAAAAAAATGTATGATTTTCATCTGATAATTATTCATATTATAAATTTTCATTTAAAATTTGATTAATTCTCTTTAAATCGAGCTGGGGTTGAATTATTGGAATTGGGCAGGCTTGGCCGGTTGATGAGGCTGAGGTGGAACACAAGCGATCCCCTGTTATCTTCAATCTATCTCAACTCAACACAATTTCACCATTCCGATTCTTTTCTGCAACATTTTTGCTTGGGTTTCATCATTCATGGCTGCCCAAACCCACGTTTTTCCCGGATTAGCTTTGGCTTCAACTCCTTCTTCTTCATCCAAGCCTTCCACCCTCTGTGTTGCCGCGAAGCCCTTGAGGACGCCCTTCCTTAATGGCGGAGGTACGTTTCCCTTGCTCTTAGCTTACCGTTCTCCATTTTGTTCATTTTAATACCGGAGGTGTGATCCCCTGCTAAGTTTCATTTTATAATTATTCCTTAGGTCATATTTTACTTGATTGGTACACATTCCTTTAGTGGGGTTCCCTTTTTTGGATGCCTATGCATACTTCCTTTCTTTTTTTCTAGAGTTAGGTTTCTTCAAAATCTGTAATATTTAGTGGGAATGCTTGCGAGCTTGCGTAATTTTTTGTTTACTTTGTTGGAGTAAAATGGTTTCCGAGTAAGTGGAAATTAAGAATTTTCCTGGACCTTCTTTGGTGTGAGCACATCCTTGACCCCTTTGTGTCCATCAATTTGAGATTGGGATTACCTCCTGGCGTAGGCTTCTTACAACATTAGTCTAGGATCAATGAGCTGATTGGCTAATATGAGGCAACATTGTGCTATCTTATAATGAGTTAGGGGAACTTCTAGCTGGATATAGTTGATATAAGCAACTAATTTACTTAGAACTCAAATTAGAAGGCTTTTGATCACTTTAGAAACCAATTTCAAACCTCATGGTCCAACTAGAAATTGAACTCTATCCTCGGAGACTAAACAAAGAACTTAGAAACTTCAAGGACCAAGTAGAAATGTAAGTGTTAGTTTTGACAACCTTGGATCAAATAGAAACTAAGTTCAAGTATCAGGAACCAAAAGTATATTCTACCTTAAAATATTAATCAAATTCCACTTAGCTTTGTAATAGTTGTGTGCTTAATTACTCTAACAGGAAATGATAATTTTTCCTGCAGGGCACACCTTACAAATTACATGGATGAAGCCTTTACATTTTAATCGATCCCATGGTGGCAGACGTGGAGGTGCTCTTGGTGCTCATATGAACCTTTTTGATCGTTTTGCTAGGGTTGTAAAGGTAGTACTTTCAATTGTTTCATCAATTCGTTCAGTAATCTTTGGAATTCACGCACTTTGAGGATAACCACGACGCTTGCTTTCTCATGAGGTAGTCATATGCTAATGCACTTATAAGTTCGTTTGAGGATCCGGAGAAAATTCTGGAGCAGACAGTGCTTGAAATGAATGATGACTTGACAAAGATGCGTCAAGCCACTGCACAGGTAAGTTTCTGAATCTTGTATTTATCATTTTTCTCTACTTGGTTTACCTTAGGCATTGCTCTTTGCTTCTTAGTCCGCAATGCTGTGTCTCCATTTTCAACTTTCCTTCATAAATTATTCATATTTCAAAGGGAATTAGAAGATGCATGTTATTAGGAAAATTATACAAGGAGGCAAAATAATGAGGCATCTATTTCATTTGTTGACATGCATACTTAACCAATTAAAATTATGAAATGGACTTTTATTCTTGAAGGTACTAGCTTCTCAAAAGCGCTTGGAAAACAAGTATAAATCTTCACAGCAAGCTGCTGATGATTGGTAAAAATCTATAACCATTCTCCATGGTCTTAGTGAAGTGATAGGTATTCACCTTTCATTTCTAGTTTTAATATAGGTATCGAAAGGCGCAATTTGCTCTTCAAAAGGGAGACGATGATCTTGCTCGGGAAGCTTTAAAGAGGCGCAAATCATATGCTGTAAGTTAGAACAGATTCGTTGTCAGATCCGATTCCTATATTTCATAATAGACAAGAATGGTATTTACCAATTTGAAGAAACCTCTTAAATTCTTTTTGTCCAATATGGAACTATTTCGTGTTACTTTTTCTCCTATAGGTATGCTATTAGAAGCAATTTTAGGTTCGAAGTTTTAATTCTGTTTGGCAAGATTTATGATTTATTCTGACCGATGATCACTGTGTTCTACCGTCAGGATAACGCAAATGCTTTGAAAGCTCAACTTGATCAGCAGAAGAATGTTGTGGAAAATCTTGTTTCTAATACTCGGGTATGAAGTTCTAATGTATTGTCCGTTGACCATCACATGAAACATTTTCAATTATATTTTGTTAAATTCTTTTAAGGATACAGCCCAGATTCCCTTGCATTACATTCGTTGGCCATGTATAAATATTAACCGTAAGGGTAAACAAGTATGAGGAAATCCATCTTCTTGTTGGAGCTATGAAAGAATGCTGTAAAGAACAGTTAATGTTATCTCTGTAGTCTATAGATATTGAGAAAAATTAGTATTCTTCTTTTTTGTTGAGATAATGCAGATCCCTATTACATTCCTAGTGTGTAGCTAGAATTAGAAACTGGTAGACAAGTTTTCATATGATATATGCTCGAACGTTAGTATGATTCTAACTTTAAGCTTTTAAAACAAGGATAATTAAGCCTATAGAATTCAATTTTACCATTGAATCTTTTCTTTGTAGCTTTTAGAGAGCAAGATACAAGAGGCAAGGTCAAAGAAAGACACGCTGAAAGCGCGTGCTCAGTCTGCGAAGTTTGTGATTTAGTCAGATTGTTAAAAAAACTCTTTTTTCTCTAGTATCTTCCTTTACTGTTGATGATTGCTGATACCACCTTTCCATGGATTTAGGACTGCAACCAAAGTAAGTGAAATGTTGGGGAATGTTAACACAAGCAGTGCTCTTTCTGCTTTTGAGAAGATGGAGGAGAAAGGTAAGGAAATGAAATATTTTAGTCGAGCATAGACTTTCTTATCATCTAATATTACTTTATTTAAATATATTTTCGTTGTAGTTTTTTCATACTGTTGAGATTCTTGTCTATATGTTACTTATGGATAGATGATCTCCTTCTTGGCTTCTTCCTCGTTATGATTAATTATCTTCCTCAAAATCTTGGTAGTTTTGGCAATGGAGTCTCAAGCCGAAGCTCTTGGACAGTTAACTGCTGATGATCTTGAAGGAAAGGTAACAGTTCTCTGCTTTCCCTCCAAATCTATTTTGTGTTTGATTTTATTAACTGGTCTTTTGAACTTAAATTCAGAAACTAGAAAGTATCATTTCTCTTACCTGTCCCTTTTTAAGATTTTTGTAAAAGCTTCTTGAGTCTGAGTAAATCCTTCAAGAAGCTTATGAGGGATTTCCTTTATGAAGGAATGAGGAGAGAGGGTAGCATTTAGACAGAGTGGGAGGTGGTAATTGTTTCGTATTACAAAATACTGCAAGTGTACGTGCCAAGTTTTAATATAGTGATAAGAGTGTTCGAGTATCGTCCTCAAGAGTTTCCAATTGATACGTACATTTTAAAACACATGTGGCTGCACAGCTCTGTTTTATTTTGGCTTTCAGCTATATCCTATATTGTAGTTTGCTCTGCTGGAGGGCTCATCAGTTGACGACGAGCTTGCGGACTTGAAGAGAGAGCTATCTGGAAGCTCAAAGGTAAAATCACATTCCACTCTTTATATATACTTCTATATCTGACCGTGGCTCAATCTTCTGAAGGATGAAACTTAGAATAGGAACCCAATGGAGGTCTCGACTTTCGTAGATAAACTATATAACAAGATCGCCTTCCTCGAAAGTTTTCTTTCATTGATGCTTCTCTGCGCAGCTTCCTTATACTTAAAGTTTGATTTCTCCAAATGATCTTGAACTTCTTTATGGAGTAAGACAATCTGCTCAGCCATTTCACTAGCTTCCTGACTCAAATCAATAGCAAAAAGAAGATTAGCTTAGTCCGCATTTAAATGGGAAAGTTTAGTATGCATGTACAATTTCAAACATTCCTTCAGTATTTGAACCTAACAACGGGATCCCCTCTCTGTTTCTACAGAAAGGAGAACTTCCACCAGGAAGAACTGTTTCTGGCAGCGCATTGCCAGTTCGTGATGCCGAGATCGAGTCGGAACTCAATCTACTGAGGCAAAAGGCAAGAGAATTGTAGAGATGCCAAATCAGTATAACTCTAAATGTCCAAATTTTCATGCTAGTAACTGGCATCATTTCACATTAGAAATACAGTGTACAGGAAGAAAAGGTTCCAAACAGATCAACTTTGTATAGCAAAACGCCTACATGGGAGAGTACTTTTTGGATTGAGGTGCAATGGGTTATATATTGATGAATCTGTGGGGATCAAATGTTGTTTGTAAGTTAAATTGCACACAACTTTCTGAACATTGATCAAGTAACTTTTATTTGTATTTTTGGTGACAAGGTTTGGCCTCTCTTGGATTTCATATCAAATCTCTGAAGTCAAGAAATTATTTCAAACCACAATAAACCCGATCCTAATTTTCTAAAAACTATATTATGAATAGAGGAATGTACGGTGTTTGACTTTGTGTGTTATATAATCACTAAGACCGCGGTCCAATCGGAAATTTCAAGGAGTATGGAAAATTCAAATTCTAATTCTAATTCTAAAAAACAAAGCCAGAATTTTGGGGGTCAAATTCTTGTATTGGGTAGTTACAAACTCATCCAATTTTGTAGTCAAACTTTTGCATATAATGAGAAAAAATAGAAAATTAAGATGAGAAAAAAAGGAGTCAGTCAATTCAAATATTCAAACATTTAATTAAATTCAAACATGTTTTCTTTCTTTTTATATATTATGGTTTTATACATTCAAACTAAACTTTTTAAAGGGGAAAAAAGGAAATCAAAAGGCATAAATTTAAAGAATCCCCACAAAGAATTGTAAGGCTTGACCCATATTAATCTTTTACCTAGTTTAAAGGAATATTATTTGATATCCCTACCAAGAATTTTCAACAAATATAATAACTAATTAACAAATTTAAACATAAAAAAAATGTCTAATAGAATTTTGATTTAACATCTCATAAACGTCAAACATGAACGGGGTGATTTAAATGGGTTTTAAATCTTCCTCAACCCTACGAATTAAACTTGGGATGGGCATAAGCCTATGTTTTTTCTTTTGGACGGTATAATTAATTTTTTTAATCAAGAATACATCTATATTAGTTGAGTTACGCATCAGCATAAAGGTCCAATTAAAAAGTTTTAAAAAAATTCGGAACGTAACACGTTCAACTGTCTAATTAACATAATTTAACATTGACTGGGCACTAACTTTATTTGATAGTTTATTCAATCACCAACCAAAATTCAGTGGTTGACCATAGGAAAAGGCTTCATATAATAATAACGATGACAATCCTCCTTTTGGTTTGACAAAACTACCAAAGTCACCCAACGCAACGCAACACAACACACTACACAACAAAACAAGGCACAAAACCCATTGATTCACACCCAAACGGCATCAACATTCCACATTGATTCACACACAAACAGCATAAACTTTCCACATTGATCAACACATAAACAGCATCAACATTCAACAATAAGTAGCAGTTCTGTAACTTGAATCATCAAGTAAGAAGAAGAAAGTACCTGGAAATAGCCGATATGACATACACGAGCTTGAAGATCAATTGCAAGTAAAACGCCATAGCAAGAACAAGACCAAGTAAATGTCTTAACTCCTTGGTCAACACGTAAACTACTCTCTCTAATATCTCTTTTCCCACCAACAATGCCCATTTAAACACCAACCCTCCCACCTATTTCTATTTCCATTTCAATTTTCACCTATAAATACTTCAACGTCTCCAAACAAAATCATCAAACAACCATATATCAACTTCAATTTCTCTCACACATATCATCAAAAACCTTCCCTTCATCTCACTATCCACTTCTTTGAACTAAAACTTCTCTCAGACAAATCGTCGAACACCTTACCTTCATTCCAGATCCAACTTCAAGTCAAAGACCCCCAAAATGAATTTCGGGAAATTGGGTGTTGTTTTAATGATCCTCGTTGTTGCTGTGGCGTTTCTGAGCAATAGCCCCGCCGTTGACGCCGCCAGAATAGTGCCCGGAGACTTTGCGAGCGCCAATCACTTGGAGATGTACCCGTCGGCGTACGAGCATGCGAAGAATACGGTGTCGTGTTGGCTCGGCCGCTTGTCATCCGGCCCCAGCCCCAAAGGTCCCGGCCACTAATTTCTCCGCCGCCGACCGGCCGTCGTTCGCCGCACCAGAGCTTTGCTGAAGCTCATCTTCCTTTTCTCCCTCTGTTTTTTTTTTTTTTAAATTCATTTGATGTATTTTTTTATTATTTATAGTTAAGTGTCAAAAGACCAAAATGGTCAAAGGTTTTTTTATTTTAGCGACATTTAAGTATGAGGAATTCGGATATTTACGTCTTTAGATCTGAATTTTTCTATTTATTTGTAATGATATGATATTAATGAAAATAAAAGAAGACAAATATAATAAATTTGAAATAGGAATTTTATTTATTATTTGTCTTATATTAAATATAACGTTAGATCAATCAAATTTATTTAAATCACTATTCAAGTATGAGAAATTGGTTGATGTAAGTGTATGAATTAAATTTTAATACGGTGAACGTTTATTAAAATAAAATTGACGTTCTAACTCACTTAAATACCACAAAAAATTTAAATCCATCAGACTCGATAAATTGCCTACAAATTTAAAAATATCTGTAAAAAAATTGTTCTTTGAAGTTTTGGTTTGAGTTTTAGCAATGTTTGGAGGTGGGAAATTAAAATTTTAGGCTGCTGGTTGAGATATTAAGTTTCAATGTTAAATCCAAAGTGATTATATACAGGACGCATAATAAGTGTGGATTAAAAACTAATGATTTTTCTCCTTAGAGAAATCAACGAACCAGAATATGCTTGAAGGGCAGGCAAAGCCACGTAGCTGGGAAACGACCAAACAGGCTTTCATCACAATGGGGGGATAAGAGCCGAAAATGGAAACCGCCCAATTTCAGTCTGTGAAAGAAGATGTGTTGGAAAGTGCTTTGCCCACATCCGCCACTACCACTTCAATTCTCCATTGAACACAATCGGAGTGCTTGCCTACTCTAATCTGCTCATTTCTCAGCCGGTAAGTGATGATTGCTTCATGGGTTTTCATTCCCCATTTCGATTTCATCGTTTTCTTTGGATATTTGATATACTCTTTTCGTAGAATTGATATGGACGGTGTTGTTTTTGATATCACTGCTTGTCAGAGTGTAACCTAGAACCGTGGTGGGCGGAGAAGTGGATTTATTGTTCTGTGGTGTACCGTTTATGTGCTTTTAGTGTCTTTGGAGTTGCAATTCAGGAAGTCCTTAAGTGATTTGATTTTGGTTCTGAAATTCTTGGTCTCCGTTGAAGGTTTAATAGTTGTCTGCTTCCATTTCTGAGCTTGTGTGAGATTTTTGGTGAAATGTCACTATGTGGGTCTGTCTCTGCTCTGAACTTGAGGTGCCAAAAGGGCATCCCAAAATCAACATCAAGATGGTGTTCTCCATTTACTTGTGAGAAAAGCAATGCTTTAGCATTTTGGGGTAGTGAGTTTGTGGGCGAAGGTTTGAAAGTTTCTGCCAGACATGTTAATAGGAAACTGGCTAAGGGGATTCCATCTCTAAAGGTTCGTCATCGAAGACTATTTTGTTTCTCTTGAGGTCGTTGAATGGAATTAGTTATTGTTATCTTTTTCTTTCATGAACAGGTAGTTTGTGTGGATTACCCTAGACCACAGATTGATGATACTGTTAATTTCATTGAAGCAGCATCCTTATCTGCGAGTTTTCGTACTTCTAAACGTCCAAGTAAACCGTTGAAAATAGTGATTGCTGGTGCAGGTCAGGAACTCTGCTTGCCTAGCTTGACTGAACTTCTTATTGAAAACGAGATAGATGATACCGATTATCGAATGTGTTAGTTCGTTTCTCTATATTGGTTGGTATAATTATGCTTTTGAACTGTATAGGATTGGCTGGTTTATCGACAGCAAAATACTTGGCAGATGCTGGCCACATACCTGTTCTACTAGAAGCTCGAGACGTTTTAGGTGGGAAGGTATGCCTGCTGAAAACAATATTGTTTCCTGGTTGAGTTCCTTGTCTTGCTGTCATCTTAATGTCATATTCATTATTGACACTATAGTTATATTGTTCTAGGAATTTTGTATTCCATTTTAAATATAGTGAAGGATAAACTAGGGTATCTCGGACCGGAGCCCTTTCCGATGTAGCATCAAGGATAGTGAGTGCCCATCTATTGCACCAGAACTTCCAAGACAATAGGAATGAGTTCGATTATACCTTGAATTCTCATGAGCTCGTTCGGGAAAGTAGTGATAGGATGAGGAGGTTTGAGAGCTTGTTAGATTTAATGCTTCCTTGTGGGCATTAGTCATTTTGACTTGTTATAATTATGGTATTTCTTGTTCTTTTGGATTAAAGTATCTTTTTGTAGTTAGTTTTTGGTCTCCTTTTTCTTACTTTCAGGCTTGTTTCTTGTATTCTTTCATTTAGGTGTAGGATGTGGCTAAAGTAAGCCAAGGGTCGTATTAGAAGGTTACGTTTTTCGGCGTGGCAACATGAGAAATGTAACATCTTTGATCATCCATGCTGTTTTATGGGACTGTCGATTCAAACAAAGCGACATTCCATTATCTATGGCCAACCGTCTAGATTTTCACTTAACAGAACGACATATCTAGTTTTTTAGATAACAATTATCATATATAGGAGTGTAACGACCCAAGCCTACTACTAGCAGATATTGTCCTCTTTTGGCTTTCCCTTTTGGCCTTCCCCTCAAGGTTTTTAAAACGTGTCTGCTAGGGAGAAGTTTCCACATCCTTATAAAAAATGTTTCGTTCTCCTTTCCAACCGATGTGGGATCTTATAAGGAGTGTCAGTAGTAACACTGTTACTTCCTCCACCTCCTTGACGACTCCCTTAGTTGGCATTTTCATCACGGTTTCCCGGGATTTTCCTTTTTTTATATTTGTATGGTGACTCAAGTTTATATTTGAGGCAGTCCTACAAATTTTATTGTAAGCATAACACTTTTTGTGGAATCTTGATTTTTCCTATAATATTTGGTTCGCTCTTTCTAGGTAGCTGCTTGGAAAGATAACGATGGAGACTGGTACGAGACTGGCCTGCACATATTTTGTAAGTATTATCCCGATAATTTATGTTCCTCGTTCTTATACGACCAGTTGACGTTAGAAAGTTGGGATGCTAATTTCGGATCCTTTCTTTTTTCTTGCTGGAAAGTTGGGGCTTATCCCAATGTGCAGAACTTGTTCGGGGAACTTGGAATCAACGACCGGTTGCAGTGGAAGGAACATTCAATGATATTTGCTATGCCAAACAAGCCGGGGGAGTTCAGTCGATTCGATTTCCCTGAAGTACTTCCTGCACCCATAAATGGTAGGCATGTGCCAATGGTGCTGGTTGTATGCATTACTTAATGTGCTAAATCATCATTTGTTTCCTGTGTCTGGTCTCTTGAAATATTTGTGATGCAACCAATCCATGTTTCCTAAACTTTGAGAATTACTGGCAGGGATATGGGCCATTTTAAGGAACAATGAGATGCTTACGTGGCCGGAGAAAATTAAATTTGCGATCGGGCTCTTGCCAGCAATGCTTGGTGGGCAATCTTATGTTGAGGCTCAAGATAATTTAACTGTGCAAGAGTGGATGAGAAGTCGGGTATGATTCGAATGCTATAATCTTGTATTGAATCTCTGAGCAACATAGATTTTAAGACGAAAATCTTCTAGGTGTTACCATTGCGATGAAAATCTTCAAAAGAAGTATTAAATTGTGGTATCCTCCTTGTGCTCAATGTGTAACAACCCACCGCTAGCAGATATTGTCCTCTTTGGACTTTCCCTTTGGGGCTTCCCCTCAAGATTTTTAAAACGCGTGGAGAAGATTCCACACCCTTGTAAAGAATGCTTCGTTCTCTTTTCCAGCCGATATGAGATCTCACAATTCACCCCCCTTCGGGGCCAGCGTCCTCCCTGACACTCGTTCCCTTCTCCAATTGATGTGGGACCCTCCAATCTACCCCATTCAGGGCCCATCGTCCTCGCTGGCACTCGTTCTCTTCTCCAATCGATGTGGGACCCCTCAATCCACGCCCTTTGGGGTCCACTCGTTCCTTTCTCCGATCGATGTGGGACCCCCCAATCCACCCTTTGTGGGGCCTAGCGTCCTTGCTGGCACATAGCCTCATGTCCACCCTCTTCGGGGCTTAGCCTCCTCGTTGACACATCGCCCTGTGTCTTGCTCTGATACCATTTGTAACAGCCCCCCGCTAGTAGATATTGTCCTCTTTGTGCTTTCCCTTTCAGGCTTCCCTCCCTCAAGATTTTTAAAACACGTCTGTTAGGGAGAGGTTTCCTGACCCTTACAAAGAATGCTTCGTTCTCTTCTCCAACCGATGTGGGATCTCACATTAAGTTTTCATGGCTTGATTGCACATTATAGATTATGAGGAGGAGATCGTAAACAAGGATTCTTTCTCTGGATTCTATCCATAACGTTGATTTTACAGTGTGATAAATCACTAGTTTTGCTAAAACAATGCCTTCGTTGGCACTTACTTTTGCTGTTCTCTAGGGAGTACCTGATCGTGTAACAACTGAGGTGTTTATTGCTATGTCAAAGGCTCTAAATTTCATTAACCCCGATGAACTTTCTATGCAATGCATTTTGATTGCTCTGAATCGATTTCTTCAGGTATGATTATTTCTTTGAACAATAAGATTATTGAATCTATTTCATTGGTGTAAATGTTCACACCATTACAAAGTTTATAGCATTCCTTTGTACTACTGACCCTCTCTAATTCTCATACATGTAATTCCTTTAGGAAAAGCATGGCTCTAAGATGGCTTTCTTGGATGGAAATCCACCCGAGAGACTTTGCGAGCCAATTGTTGAGCATATTCGATCATTGGGTGGCGAAGTGCGACTTAATTCAAGGATACAAAAAATCGAGTTAAACAATGATGGAACAGTGAAAAAGTTCTTGTTAAGCGATGGGAATGTAATTGAAGGAGATGCTTATGTCTTTGCCACTCCTGGTGAGTAGCATACTTATTGGTAATATCTTATATTCTTGAACTTCAATTAAATATATATCCATCTGTTCAAGCAGTTGATATCTTCAAGCTTCTTTTGCCTAATGACTGGAAAAAGATTACATACTTCAAAAAGCTGGAAAAATTGGTTGGAGTTCCAGTTATCAATGTCCATATATGGTAATAGTACCCTCCATCTCTCTGAGATTCATTCATATCTCAATAACTATGTAATAAAATGTGTGTGGTTTTCTATTATCAGTAATACGGTGATATTACTTCTGTTTGCAGGTTTGACAGGAAACTGAAGAACACATATGATCACTTACTTTTTAGCAGGTGCTTTCTTTATTCGTGTTAGCTTGTTCTGTTTTAGAGGATAGCACTGTTTTTGTATTGCATAATGCACTGTTCTTGGGCAAACTATAACCCCTTCCCCTGAAAGCGAAAGAAAGATCGATTAAACCAATACGCTAGTCCACAAGCATGTTAAACTTAATATCTTGGGTGGTAAGATTACATGAAAAGAGATGCTTGTATTGGTTTTGGTGTGAGATCCTATATCGGTTGGAGAGGGGATCGAAGCATTTTTTATAAGGATGTGGAAACCTCTCCCTAACAGACGCGTTTTAAAACCGTGAAGTTGACAGCGATAAGTAACGAGCCAAAGCGGACAATATATGCTTGCGGTGGGCTTGGGCTGTTACAAATGGTATTAGAGCCAGACACCGAGCGGTGTGCCAGCGGGGACACTAGGCCCCCAAGAGGAGGTGGATTGTGAGATCCTACATCGGTTGGAGAGGGTAACAAAGTATTCCTTATAAGAATGTGGAAACTTCTCCCTAACAAACCTGTTTTGAAATCGTGAGGCGTGATACGTAACGAGCCAAACCAGATAATATTTGCTAGCGGTGGGCTTGGACTGTTACAAATGGTATCAGAGCCACTGAGCGGTGTGCCAGCAAGGACGCTAGGCCTCCAAGAGGAGGTGGATTGTGAGATCGCACATCTGTTGAAGAGGAGAATAAAGCATTTCTTATAAGGATGTGGAAGCCTCTCCGTAACAGACGCAATACATAACGAGCTAAAGCGGATTAATATCTACTAGCAGTGGGCTTGGGCCGTTACATTTACCCTCGACACTAAGTATTTTGTATTTCTTTACCTGAATGCAGGAGTCCGCTTCTTAGTGTTTATGCTGACATGTCAGTCACATGCAAGGTATATTTTAGAGCTTTCAATATCCTCGTCACTGGTCGTTTAGTATCCCGACCAGCTGTGATATTGTCAAATGTTTTGTTAATACAGGAATATTACAATCCGAACCAGTCCATGTTGGAACTAGTCTTTGCACCTGCAGAAGAGTGGATTTCCCGGAGTGACTCAGAAATTATTGATGCCACAATGGTGGAACTAGCTAAACTATTTCCTGATGAAATTTCAGCTGATCAGAGCAGAGCTAAGATAGTAAAGTACCACGTCGTTAAAACGCCAAGGTAAACGTGGAATCGTTAACCGAGAGTCTGCTCGCTCGTTTCTAGAATAATTGGCATACATATAAATTGTTGTACTGTTTGTACTGTACAGTTTTTGATTGACAGCCTAATTTGATATTGGTTATAGGTCCGTTTATAAGACGGTGCCCGACTGTGAACCGTGTCGCCCCTTACAACGATCTCCTATTGAGGGATTTTATTTAGCTGGCGACTACACGAAACAGAAGTATTTAGCTTCTATGGAAGGTGCTGTTCTTTCAGGAAAGCTTTGTGCACAGGCTATTGTGAAGGTAATTTGGCTGCCTCTTGTATCCTTTCCCTAGATAGTATTTTCCAGCAATGGTGGAGATGCATCTACAGGTGTATCTTTCATTAATATCATTAAAGGGAAGAAATAAATATCGATGATATGCGTTCATATCGATGTCGTGTATTCCATATTGCAGGATTATGAAATGCTAGTTGCTCGAGAGCAACGACGAGTCGCCGAGGCTGGTGTTCGTTGACTAGAACGTAAAAAGATAAAAAGTACCTTCACATGATATTTCAACCATGAAGACATGATTCTCCAATGCTACAAAATTGTAATGTCAAATGTTGGATATAATTTTGATTACTCATTTATTTAATATTAAAAAATGTAAATATGAGAGTTTTCACATTTATTATATTTATTCACTAGCATATTATATATTCATGGATTGAGTCGTATAAGCCCCCCCATAGAGATTGACCTTAGCTCTCTAGAAAGGGCCTTAGGGGGTCAACCTTGGCCATGGAGGGCCGATCTTACTAGCCCTCCAAGAGGGTCGATCCCAATATCGGTAAGCAACCCCGCTAGTCCTCCAAGAGGGTTGATCCTTTAGGGGGCGACCTTGGCCATAAAACGTCTCATTTACTTATTTCAGCATTCTAAGCTCCTTACAAACTAGATGAATTATAGTTTCTTTTTTCTTTGTCGTTCATACAAATACAAATTCACTACTGATCTAGTCTTAGGCCTTATATTATATTAATTGTTGTGTCACTACGACGTTAGTAGTGTTTAAAGTTGAAGCGGCTATATTGTAAAATATTTTTAAAACACAATAATTTAATTAATTTAACAAAATAAAATTAAATCTAGAGGGTATAAAATAGAATGTAATGGAGGAATTGATGAACAGATTTAGCACGTGCGAAGTATAAGCGGGAAATGTTTTATTCCCTCCGTTAATGCAAAGCTAAACGCTTGTGGGGTTTAGGTTTATAACGTTAACTTCTCTGCTACCTCTCTCTTCTTCTAGCCGCGCCGAAATTTCTCTCTCTCTGATCACTCTCTCCCGCGCTCCCGCCTTTCTCGTCTCTCCTTGTCTCTCTTTTTCTCTTTCGTTTCATTGCTCCCCCATAGTTTTCTTTCCTTCACTCCCTCGCCTTTCTACATTACTCTCTCTGGCCTCCTCTGCTTCTTCCCTTCGTGGGCCTGCTGCATTTTCTGTCTCTGTTCGTCTCCTCTGACCCGTGTTCTGTAATCATTTTGTTTCCTTGTTCTTATGGGATCTTTGAGGTGATGCTGTTTCTGGGTTTGGAAATTCAAGTTCATTTGCGCATTTTCTTGGTGCTCTTTGGTAAAGTTCTTTTGTACTGAATGTGTGAGGTGCTATGATTTTGTTTTTCTTTTTTTGGCTCTTGGAATTCTGGTTTTGTTTTTTTTTTCTTCTCTTTATTGTGTGAACTTCTACGTGGATTGTTTTTGCATGTTTTTGTCTGAATTTACTGAAGTGAACTGTCTGATATTTGAATTTTAAATTGGGATGGAATTAAGATGAAAGAACAGTGCAGCTTTTGGTGTTCGATTTGTTAGTGAAATAATGGATGTTTAGCGTAATTAGTCTGCTAGAAGTTCTAATTTAGGCTCTATTGTTGCGCAAATTTGATTTACAAGATGCGGGAAGTTTTGAGTGTTTTCTAGGCTGCTTATTTTTGTGAAGCTAGGCGAGAATCATTCTTACTTGACTTATGAAGAACTTGAAACAACTGTCACTGTAAACAACTGTCTAGTATGGGATGACTTGGGAACTACTGAATTATTGGGGATAAGGTATCATGAGGTTGTGGGATTTATTTGTCATGTAAATGTTTGCATAGTTGATGTGAAATGGAGTGCCAGTTTAAATCTTGCACATTGAATTCGGTGTCCACTATTACCTAATTAAATTTGATTTCATGATGTATAAAATACGTTTTATTTTGGACTTTTTTTTGACAGAACATAGTGTCATTCCTGAACCATTGGTGGACCTCTATCTGCACTAGACAATGGATTAAAGAAAATGCTGCACGTATTAAGTAGGAGATTTTCATGGTAAACTCATGTGGGAAGGGCAGGGGGAGGAGCTAGTGTGGTGAACCGTTTCTGGGAATGGAAACTCATAGCAAAGCGAAGTGCCGGGAGGATTTAGAGGTTGATATAATTGAATGTTCAAATAAAACTGATCCCAAATTTTGTGGGAAAGAAGACCCTGATGCAACTGAATATTCAAGCTCATTTGCTGAGACATCTGATACAGACAATTGTGCAGAATTCAACGAAGGAGAAGTAGAAACTCAATTTTTTGGAGACATTGGCTTACCACCCGCATTTGGTTCATTTAGCAGTGCACTTCCAATAAGGTCCCTTTTTCTTTTGGCTGCACTTATAATCTATCTTTTAGAGTTATCGTATATATTTTGTTATAAGAAAAACTAAATGAAAGTTGCATGATTCTGAGTTAACATGATACCCTTGCTTTTCACTTTTCTGGAACGCTTCAGTTGGTCTTGGTTGCACTACTTAATGACATCTATAAATTATAAACACCTGATCTTTGAAAATTGAAATATGCAAAAAAAAAATTTGTATAGGACATTTTCTGATTGCATTCATGAAATTTAGCACCACCTCCTCCCTTTGGAGTGTCTCAAACCATAAGCCCCAATAGAAGGAATGGGATGGCTGCAATGCTTAATTTAGCAACCTTTCCCTTGCATTGCATGTTTAAATAAACCCTTTCCGTAAGTGAAGAAAAGAAAACATTTTTGAAGAAGAACTACCCATGAGAAAGTGGAAGAAACTGTCAAGAATATCAATTGGGGGTAAGAAAACAACTACGGAAGAAGAAAAACAAAGCAAAATTTTAAAATGGGCAAAAGAACTTGTCCTGCATACATCATAGGTGGATAGCATTTATTTGAAGATTTGATATTTCCATCAAGGATGCGTTCAGTGAACCTAATTAGGTAGTTGATGGTTTCTGTTGGAGATATCACTTTCCATTCTTAAATGGAGAAACTGTATCATTTGACAGGTTAACTAATGGGCGGTTGAAGACTTAAATAATATTTGAGATAAATGTAAGTAATGATAGATGGGCTTTTAGGTAAAAGCAATAAATTACATACCTTCAATAGAAAGTTCTAATGCACATACATGTATGTGGGCTTAGAAGACATTTTGGTTGTGATAAAATTCATTCTCGATTTTATTGGCCTTGATAGAATATCATTCCCTACGCAAAGATATCTTATGTGCTTAGTGTCCAAGGGACAAGTTCATTTTTTTTCTTTTTGTCTTAATTAAAGCTTGTTCAACTGGCGCTGCTCTTTTGTAGGAAGAGGAAGTTAACAAATCACTGGCAAAATTTCATCCGCCCTCTAATGTGGCGCTGCAAATGGACAGAATTAAGAATTAAAGAAATTGAGTCACAGGCATTGAAATATTCCAGAGCACTTGCAGTATATGAACAAGGAAAGAATTTAGGCCTTGATCCAACAATGGAGGATTTTTCTTCAAAAGCATTTCCATTTTCTAGCCCATATTATAGAAGAAAGGCAATGAAGAGAAGAAAACGAAAGAGAGCTGAAGATACAAATGATATATCATCCTATATGTCACAGCATAACCTTTTTTCCTACTATGGTACCAGCTTTATCCCTCTAGTTATAACTTGTTTTTTCACCTTCCTTCTCTCTCTAACTGCAATTGTTTCGTTTGGTAACTTTTGTTTTTTAATACAGAAAATAAGAAAGCTGAACTAGATGGTACTTCTGTAGCCGATGAATTTGCTAATCCAGGTAAAGTATTTCTGCTGTTACCTGTATTATCTATATGGTATGCAATATTTCTTGGTGATGATAGCCAATGGGAAGGTCAAGCAAGACACTTGCACCGAATATTTGAGCCTGGCGAGCAGTATATTGAATAAAGGCAATATTCAATTGTTTTATACATTGGACAAAAAAAACTCTATTTTCAATTTCATTCTCTCTCTAAAAGCTTAAAGAGAATGTTCGTTCAAACGATAGTATACTTTTTCCTACTCGTGTAGTTTTAAATGCATTTAACTTAAATATCCTCTTCTCTATCATATCGTGACTAATATGCCCAATTGAACAATTGAATATTTATCTTATTTTAATCTCTGATTAATAAACAAACCGGCTGTTTGCATTTCATTCTTTTGCTTCTTTCTTGGTTTAGTTACCATCCTTAAATTCTTCATCCTTAAATATTCTGAAGCTGAAAGTTGGCTTTCTGTTATTATTGGATCAGTGAAAATAGAGAAAAATGCTGATTGTGATGACAAATTTGGGATTAATAATGACTCTGTTCTCGAGTTCAGAGACACTAATAGTTCTTTGGAGCAAGTGCTCTGGAAAATTGAGGTGGTGCACTCTCGACTTCACAAGCTAAAGGGTCAAATGGATAAGGTGATGTCCAAAAATGCTTCAAAATTTTCTTCCTCAGAGAATCTGAGCCTTCTTGCACCTTGTGAGGCACAGACCAGCTCTGCCCCTACTCCTACGTTCTCAGCTGGTAATGGAGAATTATCAGTTGGAGTTATGGGCGCCTCAACTCAACATATATCAGAGTGTGATATTGGTGAGCTGATGAAGCCTGAAAGTGCTATTTCAAGCTATGGGGAGGCAATACTAGTCCCTGATATTATTGAAAGTACAGTAGGTCTCTTGACTGCTACAGAGGTTTCAATTCCGCTACCACAAATTGGGGATTCAACCGAGGATGTAAGAATTCTTGATGTCGCGCTAATTAATTTCTCTTACACCATTTTCTGATGATGTGATGCTAGAGACAATTTTTAGTGTGAAATCTGCCAAATATGTTTGCTTTTTTCTTTTTGAAGTACGTTTATATTAAAAATGGTCATTTCTTCCCTCAGTTACAAAGAAGTCATCTGGTTGTTTGACTTTTCTGTACTTTCTTTTACCTTTCTCCACATTAGGGGATGTAGCTCAAATGTTAGAACCAGCTCTGCATGCAGAGGTACAGGGTTCCATCCCCTGTTCCTTCATCTTCTAAAAACAAATTTCTGGAAAATTTTGGTTTCCTCTTCCTTTGATCTCTTTGATATACTGCATGTATATGGAATAGATCTCTTAATCACTTGCTTTCATGAGAATGATATTGGACGCTTGGACTTCTGTCTCATGGTCTGTCTTCATTTGACCTCATTAATGTATTGCATGTCTATGAAATGAAATTTACATCTTTTAACTACTCGTTTTCATGAGAACAGATTTTTTAGCTCTTAAGAAGCTATACTGTTCATGTGAATTTCTGTCTCATGGTCCCTGCCTTTCTCTTAAGTAGTAAATCAATTGATTCCTGCTTTCAAACATCAAACTAACCAACCTTTTGCAGATTGTTACTAATGTGCTGATACACAATGAGTTGGCTGAGGCAGAGAGAAACACACATGACACGATTGTTGCACAGCCCGTGGAAAAACATGAAGAACCAGAAAAAGGCAAGCAAAGTGAAGGTACCAGTCTCAGCTCAGTTCCAACTACACAACCTGATCCTATGGGAAAAGCTTTGGTCTCTGACGAACAATCAGCTCTTAAAAAATGTTTAGCTTCAGATATCAACTTTCCTAGGAACAAGAGAAAGAGAGGGGAAAGAAAAGCAGGTCCAGGTAGTTGGAACAAGAAGCATTCGAGCGAACCCGATAGCCAGTAAGTGATTTTAGAGTGATTTTAGCTGTCTTTTAGAGGATCTGTAGCTGGTCAGACGTAAAATTTCCACTTTGCCATTAACGACTGGCATAGGTACAGAATGACCACTGATCAGGTTAGTCTTATTAAGCAACTTCCAGTGTGAAGCAGCTCTTAGTTGTTGCTGCTGCCACAATGTGTTAGAGAGAGATTCTGAGTTTTACCCTTGTGTAAGTTGTCTGTATCATGTTTACTGGGAACTGATCCTGATCTCTCTCATACGTCGTATTAGATCTCAATAAGATAACTTTTACCAACTCTTTTTACCTTGAATTACTGTTTTACTTGAATAAATCATGCTCTTAAAGATTTGTCTGGAATTCATTTTTTAGTTAGAAGATAGTTCTGATTCAATTGAAATTGTATGTTCAAGACTTTCTAAGATCGTGTGTTTGGGATATCAATTATTATCATACAAGCTATTATAATCATTGTCTTGCTCTTTTCAGCAACTTCATAGGCTGAATATGATAATGATTCTCGTCATAAACTGCATCATGATGCCACCATACTTTGCTGAGCAGGTCACAAACTGCATCATGAAATACCAGGTCATGAATCCACTCTATCATCTTGAGCAATTTAGATGAACATAATCAGGTTAGTATATGGTTAAGAATCATTTTTTGAGCTGAAAAGACATTGAGCTAGAGATTTGATATAAAAGTATCTTGATATTTGGCTGGTGATTCACATCATTCTGCTTTTTGACTGCTAAACTTAGATTATTATGTCTCTGTATAGAGTTGTTTTTGGACGGTTAACCGAAAGATTCGTTTCTTCCATCTACTTTGTGTTGGTCATTCATTAATGTCTAGAAATCATGATCAAATTTGGGTCACTTTTTTTAAGGTGAAGTGTACGAAAAGATCTGAGCTTTTCATTCAGTAAAAGATAGGTTTGATGAGATTTTGATCGTCTCGTTTTCATCCACACATTGATTCATTACAATTTATATGTTTTGTATTTGTGTTCATATTTTGGTTTTGAGCAATAAATTTGCTCACATTCTAAATTTTTAATGCCAAAAGATTGAATCAGAGACTTTGGGATTTGGGGTTCTCTGCAAAACCTTGGAATTTGCAACAACAGCTTTATTAAATTTTCACCAGAAGTAAGAGGCAGGGAGTTGGTAACGATGGACTTTATCAAATAAGCCATGGAACCAATGAACCCTCATACTTTTCTAGTTTCTAACCATTTTTTTTTCTGTAAACGTCTGAGTTCGAGATAGATTAACGACTAGTTGATGTGTTGTTTAGTAGATGAATGATTTGCTTGACTCAACATTGAAAGTTTAGATATTCAGAAGACCTGGAGGCTGTTGGAGAATTCAACTCCTAACACACCTGGAGGCTTTTGGGGAATTCAACCCCTAATACTGCAAGCCCTTCAAAAGAAAAGACTGGAGGCTTCGTTCGGCCTAACACAGCAAGCACTCCAAAAGGTAAGGTTCGGGACTTGGAGGCTGATGAGGAAATCAACCCCTAGCACAGCGCACTCTTAAAGGCTCGGCAGAGAGAAAGAGAGAGGGCCTGAAAATGAGGAAAGATTGGCTACTAGAATTTGATCTTTGGCATCATATCTATATCTAAATCTGTAAAGCAAACCAACAAAACTCTGGTCGTTAAACCCTATAACTAGGGTTTGTCTTTGCACGCCAATCTCTTGTCGAGAAAAACTCGTAAACCGAGGTGACAATTTGAGACAAGGAAGGAGAAAGAAAGCAAATGGAGGAGAGGAGAGGAGAGGAGAGGAGAGGAGAGGAGAGGAGGAGGAGGGTACTAAAAACCCCAAGGATAAAAGTAAAAAAGTAAAAATTGAAAAGAGTTTGTTGTTGTTATGTACCAAACATGTAAGTTATGGGGTGACAGGCTTTGCTATTATTTTGTGTTGACAAAAGGGACATTTTTCTTTTTCTTGGATCCCTTCTATCTTCACTTTTGCAGTCATTACAGAAAAGTAAAAGTCCATAAAGAACCCTCCATGCATGCCCCCCTTTTTTTTTCATTTCAAGCCACTCGTATTAATCGAGATTTTGTATTTACTAAATATATGATTGGTCGTGTGATTGATCGTGTTACATCTATCTTTCATGAGGAACGATGCTCGAAAGAAAAAAAAAGTTGATATGAATGGGTGACCTAGCTAACATAGAGATTTTAACAACCGTAGGTCTCCAAATGTCAATTTTAGTTGCTCTTCATCATTTTTTTAATTTAGGATTAAGATCTTTAATCCAACTACTTCTTCCCTAATCATATCAAGTTTTTTACCTTTTCTTTTCGGCTGATGAACCTAATCGTAGGTGTCGATGATAAGCTTCTATTATTTTGTCTTAAAATTTATAGTTTGAATATATTTGTGATGCTCGGGTAAAGAAATAGTACATGAACTAACTATGATCACATTCAAATGAGAGTGATCTCGAAGATATGAAATTATATGGTCGAGAAATGCTTAAAAGAATTTATACTTATTACCTATACCAACAATGTGCATATTCTTTTTCAGAGGCTTAATTATAGAAACTCCAAAGTTAAACGAGTTTGGCCTGAAACAATCTTATGTTGCCTTTCATGTCAGTGAGAACAAACATGCTAAAAAGACCTGTGTTTTGTTAGTCGAGATAGTTTTCACTTGTAGAAGCATTTAAGACAAGTAGATAACGTGGTCATATTATGTGAGACATTCCTTATAAAGATATGGAAACCTCTCCCTAGCAGATGTGTTTTAAAATTGTGAGGTCACCGATGATACATAACGGGCCAAAGCGGACAATATCTGCTAGCGGTAGACTTTGGCTGTAATATGTAATATTAGAGATAGTCACCGAGCAGTGTGCCAATGGGGACGCTGGACTCCCAAAGAGGGTAGATCGTGAGGCTGATGGTGATATGAAATGGACTAAAACAGATAATATCTGCTATGTAATGCTTCACAGGTTACTCTATATGTCGAGCCCTTTCTTCTTGTTCCGATATGAAGGATTGATGCTCGCCCAAGTTAACAAAAAAAATCAACATTTCATTAAATTATTGTTTTATGCATATATTTCAACATTTAACCACCGTTAGTTGACCTATTAGTGAAGGGTAAATGTGAAATTTCATATTCATGAGTAAAATTAATTTCTCTAACGTTGAGAGTCAATTGAAATAATATCATGGTCAAACGAAAATTTAAGACTAGGTCAAAGGAATCTTTATTTTATTGTCTTAATAATCTTGTTATTATTGCAAATTTAGATATAACTGAAAATAAATTTTAATCTTATTAATTTCTTTTAAACAAAACATTAATTATTTAAGAATATGATGTGGGTGAAAATGTCGGGGATTTCAAATTGAATGGTTTTTTACTAAATTACCCTCATGATCCAATTATTTGTTTGCCTTTTGTATTAAGCTAAAAACTTGTGGGTCATGAAGAAAGGACAAACTTTTCGAGAAAAGGCAAATGCATGGCTAAGCTTTGATGTCAAATTTAAACTAACTTCCATTTGAATTCATATTATACTTATCACTCAGATTCTTTTTTCCGAGTAATTATGACTCTAAATTTCCTTGAGTATTACATATCGTGATAAGTTTCCACACCTTTGTAAGAAATGTTTTGTTCATCTCTCTGATCAATTTTAGGAGTCGAACTAAATAGCCCCTGTCTTCCCTTCTCTCCCCCCACACCCACTATAAACGCCAAGTTGGTTCAACAATAAAGAAATAAAAGGCATGGCCTTTTGGACCTTTTCCATTTCCCATTTCTCTCCCTCATCACACTCTTCTTCTTCTTCTTCTTCTTCCAATCCAAAGAATATAAATATTGCAAAAGTTGAAAGGTGGGCAGACACTAAAAGTAGCATTCCAACGAGCAAATACCCCATTTGCAGTCCTCTCCCCCAAAAAAAAGAGAGAGAAAAACAGAGCTTTAGAGAGAGAGAGAGAGAGAGAGAGATTTTTCTTGGAAGAATTCAGCATGTAGCCGAGGAAGAAGCTGGGAACTAGCGGGGGAGAGAAAACCCATATCTCTGATTTTTCTTCTTCCTTTTCCTTTTGCTTGTTGTTTCAGCTTTCTGGAAGGGCGGCTTTTGAAGGTCTTTCACACGGCTGATTTTGGGTACTGTTATGTTTTTTGGGTTTAACTTTTCTGGGGTTTTTGTGGTTTGTGTTCTTCGATCAACTGTGGTGGGTTTTCTTCTTTTTGAGCAGAAATTTGCAGAGGACTTTCGGCTACTGGGTCATTTCTGGTGCTAAACTTTCCCTTTTAGGTCTTTTACTGCCTTGCTTCTGTGTTCTTCTGCTGTTCATCCTTAAATTCTTCAGATTAAACCCTTTCTTCTCCTCTTTCTCTCTTGCAAATTGGGGTTTGGTTGAAATTGTTTTGTTTTATTTAGCTATGCTTTGAATCACTCTGAAATTCTAGCTGTTTTTGGTAGGAATTTTGGTGTTCATGTTTCTTGTTTTTGGTAGGAATTTTGGGTTCCTATGGCCCCCTGGCCTGGGAGGCTAGGGAATGGATTGAACCATTTTGAGGGTTGGTAGGAATTTGGTCTGTACTTTCTGGGTTGGTTCTCAACTTGATACTCATAATTCTTATGAACTAGATTCTCTGGTAGCAACTTTGGATCCTATTCTTGTACTTGTGTTCATTGTTCGATGATCACGACGTCGATTATGTATAAGAAATTCGGTAAAAATGGCTGCACTTAAGAGCTGAATCTTCCATTTTTCTCGTCTTTCAGGGAAACTCTTAATGCAAGTTAGATGGGAAAGAAGGGCAGCTGGTTTTCTGTTCTAAAGAGGTTTTTCACTTGTCATTCAGGAGAGGCAAGTTGTTTCTGAACTTATTTTGACTATCGATGAAATGAACGATGTTATGTTCGTTTATGTAACTCGGTTTGTTTCGATCGTTTATGTCGTTGTTGTTTTTGATCTCGAATGTATGAGAATAGAAGGAGAATCTGACCTTTTTTTGTTGTGAACATTGTGGTTTCATGATATAGAAGGATGATAGGAGAAATGAAAGGAAGGGAAATGGGAAAGGAGAGTCTACTTCTTCCTTCATTCCGATCTTTAGAAAGCCGAGCAGTGTCGAGAAAATCTTTAGTGATTTCGAGAGGGAGCAACGAATAGTAGCTTTTCAGCCTCCCACTCCTGAACTACCATCCACACCACCCCATGTACCTCCTCGACCAGCTTCCCCACCGGCCCCTTCCCCTCCTAGAGCTCCTCCTGCTAACGAATCATCTCCCAAGATTTCTCCTCCTCGAGTTGCTTCTCCTCCCCGAGTTTGCTCATCAACAGTTGCCAATCATCACGAGGAAGTCCGCGACGTTCCAATAGTCATCAATGATCACGAGGAAGCCAGAGACATTCCATCGGTTGTCAATCATCACGAGGAAGTCAGCAACATTCCAGCAGTCGTCAATCATCATCTCGAGGAATTCAGCAACATTCCAGCAGTCGTCAATCATCATTGCGAGGAAGTCAGCTACGTTCCAGAACCAACATCAAACCATCTTTCTTCGGCCATTAAGATCCAAGCAACCTACAGAGGCTATGTGGTAAGTGTAGTTTGCTTTGTAATTGTTTACCTCGATCTGTATTGATTGAAAATCAGCAAGACCGATAATTTCAACTCCGAAATTTGCAAATGAACTACAATAATGTTGCAGGCAAGGAAAAGCTTCAGAGCATTGAAGTGTCTGGTGCGGCTTCAAGGCATTGTACGAGGAAATAACGTGAGGCGACAGACTTTGAATGCAAAGAAACAGATGCAGCTGTTGGTTCGGGTGCAGTCTCAGATACAATCACGACGGATCGAAATGATAGAAAACCAGAGGCAACTCCAGGATCATCACAACGATAAAGAAGCTCACAGTACCTTCGATGCAGTACGTTTTTTCGTTCCTTTCAATTGTTGTTTCTCTAGTATTATTATGTCGGAAAGAGTTATCGTTTTAATGGTTCTGAGCTCGGAAAGAGTTATCATACATTGTTTATCTGTGGTCTGTAATGCTCATGCTTGTGAACACCTGCATAGTCTGAGGGAGGTAACCATGAAAATTGGGATGAAAGCTCACTAACAAAGGAGGAAAAGGATGCCCGATTGCAGAGGAAGGTCGAAGCCACCATTAAACGAGAACGAGCGAGGGCATATGCATACTCCCAATCCCACCAGGTATCCCCTGTCGAGTTTCGATTATAATCAACATCGGTTGGTAATATGTAGTTTGGAATATGTATGCTTATTCTTGCTCACTCGAACATTGCAGAGAACTACTCCAAGGTTTGGGCAAGATGCTCAAATGGGTACATGCTCCATGGGAGTTCCTAGGTGGTTGAAATGGTTAGAAGGCCAGTTACCTACCGAAGCTCCTCCGAAACATCCTCTACCGAGACCTGTAACTCCACAGTTGGAGCAGAAGTCGAGCCCGCGAACTCCATCAAGCAACAACAGACGACCGAGTTTCGGCTTAGATGGTAGGGATACGCCCACACCGAAGTCTACAAAAGCAACACCATTCTCGAATTCAAGGCCTGCTTGGTCTCCGCATTGGTCGAGAACCCCTCCAACAGCTAGGTCGAACGTCTCCAGCGATTCGAGATCACGAGGCAGACGAGTATTATCTCCTTTTGAAATGAGGTTAAAGGATGATGACAGCCTTGTAAGCTGCCCTCCATATATGGCACCACATTACATGACTCCGACGATTTCAGCCAAAGCGAAAGTACGAGCGCATAGCAACCCAAGGGAGAGGTTTCCAGGTACACCAAGGAGCGAAGCATCAAGCAGGAGGCAGTCGTTTCCGCCGACTCAAGGTGTTGGATCGTTTAGGAACAGAGGTTTGATGTCACCGAGGACGGAGCATGCAGCTTTAGACGACAACCAATCTTTACGATCAGTCGGCTTCAGCATCGCCT